AAGCCAACCAGTGCAATGGTTTTCCTTGTTTTCACTCAAATTCATATTCACCAAAATATTCCCCTTCTTTTGGGTTAATCTGTAGTTGGAGACTTTTTCTTTTAGAAAATTCTACCTTTGTTTGCATCACTGCATGTCTCGTAACTAGTATTCTGGAAAGAATAGGAGATGCCTTTAGTTGTGGTTCCTCAATGACAGTGAGATAATTTAGCATTGTGAATAGAATTGTGTATTCAGCACACTGAATAAAAGAAAAGACGCTGATTATATACAAGTAGACTCCTACACTCTTTAGAAAAGGATCCTTAAAAATCCTACAATATATATAAATACAATCGACGTTCTTTAACACTCCCCCTCAAGTTGGAGCATAAATGTTAAGCATGCTCAACTTGTTACAAAGATAGTCAACCCGAGGGCCATTTAGAGCTTTTGTAAAAATGTCTTCTAGTTGTTCGCTTGTCTTGACATGTCCTGTAGAAATAGCACCTTGTTGTATTTTTTCACTAACGAAATGACAATCAATTTCAATATGTTTTGTTTGTACGCGAAATAACGGATTTGATGCAATATGAAGAGTAGCTTGATTATCATGCCATAAATTTGCATGCGACTTGAAACCGATTTCTTCTAAGAATTGCCGAATCTAAATTATTTCACAAGTAGATTGTGTCATAGCTCGGTATTTTGATTCAGCACTCGATCGAGGTACTACATTTTGTTTCTTGCTGCTCTATGATATTAAGTTTCCGCCCACAAATACACAATATCCTAAGGTTGATCTTCTATCAACTTTCGAACTTGCTCAATCTGCATCTGTTATTCTGGGGGACAAATCCCGTTTATTAACTCTAGAAACTAAAGGTAAACGATGATGTTTGACAAATTGACAAGACTCAACTCTCTAAAAATGATGATGACTGAAATTGTGGACATAACTTCTTTAAAGCGGACAAGGAGAGATGGCCCAAAAGACAATGAATCTCAAGTGGAGATAGAACACTAGCACACACCAAAGATAAAGAAACTCGGCCATCTAGAAGATAAAGGCTAGACTCACGCCGTCTACCAATAATCTACTTCGTTAAAAGATACTGAAACACACAATAAGTGGGGTAAAATTTGACACAACGGTTTAGTATACAAGTAATTTTGCTAACGGAAAGTAGGTTAAACGAAAAACAAGGCAAACATAGCACAGAAGACGATGGAAGACAGTTAGGATCAACAGTGCCAATACTCTTAATAGAAGAAGTGGACCCATCAGCTAGAGTAACATGACGATTAGAGTTATGAGGTTCTTTTAATGAGGAAAAGAGACTAGAGTTACCTGTCATGTGATCTGTGCAAGCAGAATCAGTGACCCATTTTGATGAGGTAGACATAAGGCATGTATTACCTGAATTGGTAGCAGCATCGACAGAGGAATTAGCAGACTTGGAAGAACGATATTTGGAGAGCTCAGCATATACTCCGCAGTAGAAATGGTTATGGTATTGTCAGTGGAAATGACTATAGAATCCTGAGTAGCCACATTTGCTCCTATCGGTTTGTTTTGGAGTCTCCTGCAAGTCCTCTTTGTATGACCTGGTTCATGGCAATAATGGCAAATAATAATACTGGTCTCCCGAGGTTCAACTCCATGGGTACGGTTGCTTCCTCCTTTGTCCCTGTTTTCTGTCTGCAAGTGCACTATTTACAGAAGGTAAGGATTTATGAGATCCTTCCGTATGTAGTCCCTGAGTGAAAGTGTTGTGAAGAGAAGCAATATCACTGCTTGAAAGAATCTGAGATTTGGCAGTCTCAAAAACTGGAGAAAGCCTTGCAAGAAAACTCATAATCGCCATCTGTTCTCGCTGGGTTTGTTGGACTTTGTCATCAGCACTAAATGGTAATAGAACATTGAGTTCCTCATAAATTTTCTTGAACTCCATGAAATAGGTTGCAAGAGGCTTATCTTCCTGATTTGCCCGATAAAAACATTTACAGACTTCATACATACGAGATAGATACCCTTTTGCTGAACATAAAAAATTAAAGATGCTCCATTAACTCCATAACATACTCACAGTGATTGATCAAGCAAATTACCTCACTGTCGATGGAATTTCGAAGCTGTAAGAATAATCAAGCATCCTCTCTAAGCCAAGCCTTATGAGTATCACCTTTGGATGGATTATCAGTCAAGTGGTCATTATTCAAGTGTTGAAAATAAATATGGACTGTTTTACTCCATTCTAGAAAATTGGGGCCATTGAGTTTTGTGTTCCGTTATTTTATTCATTACTAGCACCACATCGGTGATGACAGGTTTCAATTCGGAAGTCTCCGGTGGAGTAGTCAGCCATGTCGTGTGACTAAAACCCCTAAAACAATTTTGGCATAGCAAAGGAAAGCTACTGTTTTTGGTAACTCAGTAGCAAAATATACACAATAACAGATACGCAGCAACAAAATACACACTCTGAATGCCAAACTAACTGATATAGAAGCAGAATATCGAAGCACAAACCAGATTGACAAACTCAGAAGGCAAGATATCTATACCCAGCAAAGCCCAACAATGGTTCAGCACGAAACCCACCGCAGAAGCCATCGAAGGCCTACGCAACACACAGGGTTGCACTCCTATGGCCGAATCGACGCGGGAAACTGAGAGCTAGTGACAGGAGATGGCCGGACGCCCCACGCAGCAGCACGTGAACCGGAGCAGAAAGCAAGAAGCAGCGCGTGGAAGCCACTTGCTGGGATTCTGGTGACGGGATTTCGGGAACACACTGATCCACGGCTGGGGTAGCTTTTCTGGTGCGCGGTGAGAGCGATATATCACACTAGAAAGCTAACCTAAACTGACAGTAGCATTGAAAGGCTACTGAAATCAGAAAAAAAATTTTCCGATTATTGAATATTGTTCAAATACTAAAAAACTCCCTGCTTTGATACCATGTGAATAGAATTGTGTATTCAGCATGTTGAATAAAAGAAAAGAAGCCGATTATATACAAGTAGACTCCTACACTATTTAGGAAAGGATCCCTAAAAATACTACTATATACATAAATACAATTTATGTTCCTTAACAAGCATGAAGCAGCCCATATCAGATCTCATTCATCTTGCCTTGTCCACTCCATTCAATCTCACCATCACATCCTCTAGTGAATCCAAAACCTCGGATGATGTCTCTTTCTCCCAATCATGCAGTTCTTATGGAAGGCATAACAAAGTTGAACATAGTTGCTTCCAAGGAATTAACGGAGGATCCTCTTCCAAGCCAACAAATACCATTAGGAACATGCATACTTTGGAGAAGTTTATCACTTAAAACATCCTGCAAAAAGAGTAGATTTGCTAATGCCCCAAGCATAATGGAAGACATCCTTTTTATCCCTTCCTAACAAATTTTAGAATCCTATATGACAGCCATTTAACATTCTTCAAACTTTATCTATTTCAGTCCTTAACATAGTCCACAACAATGGCAGAATGCAAATATGATGCCTCCCAACCATTAAACCTTCAAAGCAATTCACATAAAAGAGCTATGTTAAATAGAGAGTTCTTCTTCCTTGATGAGATTTTGACAAAAGAAATTTTTACTCATATATAATTAAGGTTCATTTAGCATTGGAACTGCCATGTGGGCTTTTCTTTACTGAGGTTTGAATCCTGTTAGACATCTCAAAGTATAGATTGATTGAAAAGGTCGAACTTTGTATTTCATAACGACAAATTTTTCATCAGTAATAAAGGTCTATAAGTTAAGGTCAAACTATTTTCTTTTTATCCATTTCTTGTACCTATTAACTTAACTCAACTAAGCAATCCCAAGTTAGTTGGTGTTGCTTGGATGGATCCTTTTTCTTTTTTAACCACTTTCCTACATATCATCTGTGGATTGCTCCTCTCTTTCCTTTATCACGCAAATTCAATATGCTCAACCTTTTGTACAGTTGAATTTGTTAGTCTATATGATGCATATATCCAAATCATTCCCTTTTATCAACTTTCCTTCAATGGGTGCAGTTCCATCTTGTTATAGATGCGTTTATCAATTTATTTGCACCATCCTTGTATTTTGATTCATCTAGCCTAGGATTCTTATTTAAGTTGTGTTGTCTTTCCATCAATCAACATTCACTGCCATCATTATAGTTGGATGAATTATGGTACTATAAAAATTCTCCTTCATGCCAGTTTATATATGGGAAATTGTTTTTTTGGTAAACTTTTGTGCTTTTGCTCTTATTCTTAGAAACTTGTCAATCTTAAGACCAAAAAACTAATTAAATAGATAATCACTGAGGAACTGTGTTGGCTTCTAAATGTGAAGGCAATATTGATGAAAGATGATGGATTAGGTTTACAAGTTTAATTATGTTGTCCATTGAGTCAATGGTCTTGTGTTGATTTATTGGAAATGGTTCAATAGCAAGAAAATAAGTTGATGAAAAAGAAAATCAACAGTGGACAGGGATAAGTTGAGAAAGAATTAAACAAATGGTAACAATTATATCATATACGTTCTTCTTTTGTAGAATTAAATAACATTATTGGCTTTTCTTTTATTTGTAAAGTTGCTTAAATTTGTAAGTCCCTGATATTTGATACTAAAAATGACTGGTAACAGGGGTTTCTATTGTTCCATGATCCAAATTTGCTTTTTAGAGTTGAAATTCATCTTAGTTGTTTGTTGGTTTGATCTCTTGAATTTTGTCAGTAACAGAATTGCTCTTTGTTCATAGAATATATTTTTTACTCTGTGTCACACCTGTTCATGTTTTTGTTATGTTTATCAGGGCTCATGATTTTAGCACTGATATCTTCGATGATCGAACAGTTATCCTTTGTGACCAAGTATGATTGATCTTCTTTTGAGCACTTACAAGAGCATTTCTTCAAATTCTGATTATTGTTTTTTGCTTACCTGACTTTGTCCCATTTTCCAGTGCGAGAGAGAATTCCATGTTGGGTGCTTGCGTGACAGCGGACGTTGTGATCTAAAAGTAAGTGTGTAATATTGTAATGTTAAGTCTTTACAATGCAGTAAAGAAGCTTGCTAACTTTTGTTGTAAATATCAAAACAGGAGATCCCTAAGGATAATTGGTTCTGTTCTAATGACTGCCATAGAATCTTTGCGGCTCTACAGGATTTTGTTTCTAGTGGAATACAGATGATTCCTTCTTTGCAGTTGGATATCATAACTAGAAAGCATGCTGAGAAAGGATTATTAATGGATGGACTATCAAATGATGTCCAATGGCGAATTCTGATGGGAAAAAGTCGCCGCAAAGAAGATCTTTCATTGTTGTCAGCTACTGCTGCAATTTTTCGAGTATGTTGATACTTTGCAGGATTTCTTTTTTTTATTATTATTATTATTTTACTTCACTGAAAACATCTGTGATTAATACTTTTTTTTTATCTGGTTTATTTTAGTTGCCTAGCACTAACTGCGTTGTGAATGCTGATGTCTATTTAAAACCAGTAGTTGGTGACATTATCTGTTGCGTGTTCCTATGATAAAATCAATATAAGTATGCTCAGGACTTCCTTTCTAGTCTTTTTTTTTTTAACAGTCAGGAAAGTCCAGTTCATGGTACCAGTGAACTGGGCCTCCGATACTTCTTCAGACATGCTGCAAGGAAACAAATGCAGCTTATAATTTACAGCAAATTATGATACATCTACCAGACGCCCATAGGTTGTCATTCAATTCTCCTTGGTCATTGATACAACAATTTGTTTTTTTACATGCCCACCTTACTCATCATATGTGGACCACATGCAGAATTGAATTTTCTTCCATCTAATTTGTAATCTTCCTGAACCTGCCACCCTAGTCATTGATGTTTAGCATATCATATTGTTTTCACTGATATAAGGATGGAAAATATGTCTTCATCTAATTCAATGTAAAAACTTTAAACCATTTGCAAACTTTTGAGTTATTAACTTACAAGCATAAATTAGGAATTTTAGTATTTGAATGGTGAGGGATTTGTATGACTGAAACTTATATCAGTTAGGACATATGGGAGGTGAAACAGTGGATAAGGGTTCTTTGCTGGTCATATCGTCATTTGAAATTTTTGTTGGAAGGAAAAGTAGATATTACTAGGCCTTGAACATGACTTGTAATCTGATGCCTTATTGTCCACTGATTGGAAGATCATCAAGAGGAAGGATATTCTCTTCTATGGAACGACCTTCACCCATGTGTACCACCCTTTTACTTGCATTTTATTTTTGTAATTCTACAAGTTGTGTGGTAGGTGTATGATATACATGTAATTTATAAATTTGGGACACATTTGCCTAATTATGAGCCTGTTCTTTTGGCAGGAGTGTTTTGATCCCATTGTTGCAAAAACTGGTCGTGATTTGATTCCTGTTATGGTCTATGGGTAAATTGTCCTTTCATTTTTATTTTCTTTCTTGCTTACAGTAAGTTATTTTCCTGCTTGAACTATCTTCATGCTGCAAATATATTTTTGAGTACACAGCCCCTGATTTTGTAGCTTCTCTTTATGGCCTTGTCCTGATATGCATGTTAAGTTACATGTAATTTGTGAGACCACGTGAATGTACATTTCCTTCTTTGAAGTGTTTTCTCATTAACACATACGGTGGAATGTAAAGATATTAGCAGGTTGTCCGTGAACTTTTTGGGAAATACTTCTCGCAGTTACATTGGAACTTAAATATTAAGTAGTTTCATGTGTGTACGAGTACTGCTAGATGGACATGTGTTGTAGCAAGAATCTTTGTTTCTCATATTAGATTAGCTGGTCATACTACTATCGAAATTATGTGATGCGGAATGCCAAGTATAAATGAATCAGCTGAAGCATTGCAACAAAAATATATTTAAGATATCTCTCTCAATTCTCCCTCCCTACTGTAGCCTTTCTTGTTTTTATATTCTCTCCCTCTCTTCTTCGTCTAAGGTTCCAACTTTTTCTGTTTTCTCTCAGTTTCTGGGTCTACAAACATTCAAGTTAGGCCCCATGAGTTTTCATCCTAACAATGACTTGAGTGGTCAGGGAGATGATTGGCAAAGGGGAGTTGGAAAATATAAGAAAAATTTCTCATCAATCTCATTTTGGTTGAATGATAAAATATTCAATTTGAAAGGAAATTAGAACATCAAACCAAAAATAATATGGGTCTTCTCATCCATCTGGGGAAAAAAATGTCTTAAAATCTCCTTTCTTGTGAGAGGAATGGTGGTTTCCATCTTTTCTCTCCAAATTTCATTGTGAATGAAGGATCATCGTGAAGTGAATTGCGTATTTAACCAGGACTGCAATCATTTGCTGGTTCTAGTTGTCTTGGGTCTCTGTATTTTCTATTTACTTTCAACTTTTAGGATCTTGTTATTTTTTCAAGAGTGAAATTTTTAATATAGTTTCTTCATTTTTGAATTTTTTGCAGGAGAAATATTTCTGGCCAAGAATTTGGGGGAATGTACTGTGTGCTATTACTTGTGAAGTATGCTACTTTCATGATTTCCCTCTTTCATTCTTTAGATCAGTAATTATCCAGGATATATCTAGCATTAATAATTGCTGTTTGTTCAATAACGCTGCAGGAATGTCGTTGTATCAGCTGGTCTTCTTAGGATTTTTGGTAGGGAGGCTGCTGAGCTTCCTCTAGTTGCAACGAGTAGAGAACATCAAGGAAAAGTGAGTGCTCAGTTTCTAATTTTCACTTTGTATACTTTACATGGTTCTCGAGCTTGCTAATGGATAATCCCACGTGTTCTCTTATAATTTTTTAAATCAGGGTTACTTCCAAGCATTATTCTCATGCATTGAGAGATTACTTTGCTCCCTCAATGTGGTAAACTTGGTGCTACCAGCAGCTGAGGAAGCTGAGTCAATTTGGACAAGGAGATTTGGCTTCAGAAAGATGAGCGAGGGACAAGTACATTCCGCTTTAATTTGCAATTTCATGAAACATACAAATCTTTTCTTTTTTTCCTTTTTTCTTTTTTCCTGTGATGGATACACGCAGTATTGAAATCATGAAATTTGCATGGAACTTAAAAAACCCCAAGTAAGCAATGTTTTGGCTGCAACAAAGAACAGCAGCAGCAGCTAAGTCTTAACCCCAATCTAGTTGGAGTTGGCTATAAAAATCTTTCTTTTCATTCTGCTTTATTCATAGTTAAGTCCGTGAAGATGTCAAAAAGTAATGTTTTGGCTGCAACAAATATAAAATTTAAACAAATTGCTCTCATTTTATCAACTTCATTCCGCATCAGATTACTTAAGCCAACTCAAAAACTCACATGGTTGCCATTTGAGCAATTGGATAATGACATACTCCTAAAGGGTATTGGATAAATTGTAATCAGTGTATTGATAGGGATTGTTTTAGCTTCAGCGTCTTTGTCTTGGTTGCCAGGCCTTGAACAAACACTGATGCCAGATTTTTGTTTTTATTTGCCCAGCTGTCAAAATATACAAGGGAACTGCAGGTGACGATATTCAAGGGCACAACAATGCTGGAGAAAGAGGTTCCCCAGATAATTGACTAGCAGCAGACTGAGCTCCCAGAAGTTAATTATGGATACATAAAAGGAAAAAAAGAATGTCATGAGCTTGTAGGTTTTTATTTTTCTAGCAGTTCACTTTTCTGTACTATTGCTGCGGGATCTTTGTTTTACAGCCAGTCAGCCAGTCAGCATGTCTTACTGAGCATTGTTTTCTTGTACAAATTAGAATATGATTGAAGGAAAGAAGAGCAATCAGATGGAGGAATACAGGGTTATGTGATATAAAAAGGATGAGTGCATAAAGCCCAAAGAAATTTTTGTAGCTCAAATGTCATGTGCAAGAAAAACATGCTGCTTATTAGTTTTGGTATGGTCCTTTTTCTTTCGAGCTGAGTTGGAAAATCCGATATATGTATCATTTGGAAAAATGCAGTGCTAAGTTGAGTTGGAGATATGATGGATCTGTCGTCTTCTTCATCATCTGAACTGAACTGTTGGACGTCAAGTTATCAAATTTAGGATTCCTTCACTTTTAGCTGCACAAGTATAGATTCTGTAGTTCTTATAAAATTAAACTGTTTTTTGGCCGACTGATTTTGAAGTAATCCAGTTGTGAGCAGAAAAGAGACCGTTCCCTCAGGGTAACGTTCTTATGGATGCAAACCTTGGGAATTCTTTTACCCTGAACTTTATCGACCTGATACAATATCATTCCAAATTGACTTTTATCTCCTTGCATCCAATTTACATATTTAGATATTTTATCACTCAATTTAAATTTGATTTAGGATTATATAATAAAATAATATACTGTGCGGTTCACCACTCTATCTTGAGCTAACTTAACTCGAGATAGATTTGTCTTCTTCCTCCTTTACCACTTTCGGTTACTCACATATACGACCACCACAAACCACCGTCACTTAAATCAACGCCTAATTCAGCAAAAGATCTTTTTTTTTTTTTTGGCTTTTTGGGAAAAGAAGAAAAGAACAAAAAGTAAATCAAGATGTTTTTAGGGTATGCAACCCAACAACTATCATGCTGTAGAAGACTAGCCAAACCCTGAGGAGGGTAGTCGAAAAACATGATTCCCCGTAGCCAAAGACGAAACAGAGTGTGAGTCAGTCAATCTGCAAAAGTATCACATTCAATCGATGGCTTAATTGTAAATTTGGTGTCTTTATTTTCTAATATTTTCTATTTTACTTAACTTTGTAATTAAGTGTTTAAATTTCGAAAATATTTTCATTAAGGTGTTTCTTTCCTATGTGGCGGGCTGAAAATATAAATAAAACAAGGGTATTGTGCCAAGCTGGAATTTTGCTGATATGGAAAAAAAAAATACTGAGTTGTCAATTGGTGATTAATTACTGTCAATGGACTGAAAAATAGAGATTACTAAACTAACCTTGCAATTAAAAGCTCTTGGATCCTTGTTCAACGATGGAAGACTACGGTTTCTAATATTTCTCTTCTCTCTACTCCTCTTCTCAACACGATTCTTATTAGCTCGAGCTGCAAATGCCCTCTCTTTAGTATCATCTTCTTCATAGCCTGGTCAAACGCTTCAGATTCGCAATCCATTTCTTTCTCTTTATAAGCTTCGCCAATATCACCAATCTCAACAATTTTTCCCCTTTATGTGCCCTTATTTCGCCATTGACGGGAACTGAATATGTATCACTATTTTGGTATTGCTTGTCTTGATTTCGAAAGGGGAAGAAAGGTGACGCGTGTGACTTCGCTCATAGCGTTTTTGAGTGATGGTTGTATCTTGCTTGTTATCGAACTCAACCGTGCTTCTTGGTATCTGCAGGTTTGTGGATCTGGATTAGTTACTGTCAGTATTCTAACAGATCCAGTATCCTATTCGGGTTCTGTAGCCCGCCAACCTCTGCTTTGATCTGTTCTGGATCTGTTACAGCGATGTATGGGAAAAAGTTTGTGAGGAAGAGTGGACCCAGATCTAGACATGTCTCAAATGCTCTGGATGGGTGGGTTTCGGAGCTGGTGAAGTAAAGGGAGCCAAGGAAGTGATGAAAAAATAAACCAAATTTTACACCAGAATATTCATTATTAATTATTTCTTTGACAAAGCATTTATTTTGGTGGCATTTTTGGTTCCATCTCTTGTTGTGAATGGTTTTTAAAGGAATCGAGAGAGGGAGAATGGGAATTTTGCTTTGTGTCCTAATTTTCCCATTGAAGAGAGCTGAATCTGTATTGGCAGTTGAAGATGTCTATGGTGGCCTTGAAGATGGTGAATTACCAAGAGCCTTTTGTCGTCCATCACCATCCTATTACACCGCATTTTTTGTTGTTCATCCTCTTGCATCGGAGATGGTCAGGCAGAGGCTCATTTTCTTCCATGAAAGATTTTAACTTCCCAATAAAATTATTTTCCAGGAAAGTGACAAAAACTGAAAGTTATTTGAAAGGAAACAAACAATAGAAGGAATAAGGGCAACTCTGTCATTTGATAAAATCCAATCATATTTTATACACAAGAATCCAACGTGGCAGTCTTAGTGCCGTCCAATGTAGCTTTTTTTTAAATCTTCAGTGAGCCCTTTCGTTCTATTTGTATTTTTGGCTTACCACGGAGGATAGAGCAAACCTTTTCGGTTGAAATACTAAAATAGAAAATATTAGAGAACCTTTTCGGTTGAAATACTAAAATAGAATTGCATCCGGAGATGGTCAGGCTAGAGGCTCATTTTCTTCCATGAACGATTTTACTTCCCAATAAAATTATTTTCCAGGAAAGTGACAAAAAACTGAAAGTTATTTGAAAGAAACAAACATATAGAAAGGAATAAGGGCAACTCTGTCATTTGAAATAAAATCCAATCATAAGATTTTAATACACAAGAATCTAACGTGGCAGTCTTAGTGCCGTCCAATGTAGCTTTTTTTTTTAAAATCTTCAAGTGAGCCTTTTCGTTCTATTTGTAATTTTTGGCTTACCAGGAGGAATAGAGCAAACCTTTTCGGTTGAAATACTAAATAGAATTTAGAAGAACGCTTTTCGGTTGAATACTAAAATAGAAATATTTTATGATGAGCGGAGAAACTAAATTTATTGTTAAAGCCTTCAACGTCTTTTATCACTGCTGTTGCTTGAAATACTAAAATAGAAAATATTAGAGAGCGGAGAAACTAAATTTATTGTTAAAGCCTTCAAACGATCTTTTATCACTGCTGTTGCATTCAAAATAGTACCCAATCAACATTCCCAAATGAAAAAGGCACAAGTCCAGCAAATCAAAGGCAGGTCATATTCAATCAACAAGAAAATGGGTTAAACCATCGGAAACTATGGTTTGCCCAATAAAATGAATTGTGGCAAATAAAATAAATGCAAAAAACTTAGAAAATGGTGTGTTACCGATAGGGATGTGGTTGAGAGCAACGCCAGTACTAAAAGGGGCATATTGGACTAATTGGAAACATTCATTACTGTCGCCATAGGCAAAGACAGACGAGCGACAATAATTCATCGTTATAAGAGTAGAGCTTATGACAAAGCTGCTATTGCTGATACGTCTCCCAAAGCAAAATGGTTTCTGAAGTTCCCAGAAGATAAAATATACGACGGTCGGTACCTCACAGCTTTTCATTTACACTTTCTTTTAGGAATGACTGGAAAAGAGTAATCTAAACTGTGCCAGAAAACATCACCGATTGGAAATTCGAGTGGGAGCCTATAAGAGACATTCATGTGAATAAGAAAGTTGGCATGGGAAGTTTTTGCGTCCAACGGAGAAATGCCGCTTGGAGGAATCTCTGTTACTCACGACGAGCGACACAGTGGCTCCACAGTGAGGTGGATTCTTTGGGATGTGGAGGCAACAGAAGTGAAACGAAACAGTTGGAGGAATTTTGCTAAATGGTGTGTTGCCTCAGTTTGAGACTTTGGTTAGAGTATAATTTAAGTAGCTGTTGCACTTTAAGGCGACATTTATAATAATGGTTTTTTTCAAATGGCAATTAATTACTAAAATAGTTTATTTCAAAATATTTGTCATATTTGTGATTTTAACGAGTAATAAATATTTTTTTCATGTTTACTTTTTATATATATTCAATAATTATTACTTCAATTTAATGATTTTCTTAGAAATTAGTATTAAATTGAGGATAATGTACTTAATTTACTTAATAATTTAGTGTAACTTGGACAAATTTAATAATTTTCATAAAAAACGTGAAATTTCAAACGTGACAAGTATTATGAAACAAAGATAGTAATAAAGAGTATACTAGAAGTACCTCACAATATTTTTCTAGGAATAGAAAATATAAATATAAACAATGAAAGCTTCTATTTGTAAAGACTAATTCCTTTTCTAAATAGGATAACAAAAGTGCTTAATAACTGTTTTGATTGAGAGATTAGATCCAAGATTTGTTTCGATGTCAAGAAATTATTGAAAATGAAATTAAATAAGCTAAAAAAAACAACAAAAATGAACCATCATCTTAAATGTTAGCAATGACTTGAGGAGCAAAATTTATAAGGATAACAATGTAGAAATTATTTACTATTATTTTGGCGAAATGCACATATAGGTCTCTCAACTTATTTAGTTTTACCCCTTATGTCCTTAAACTTTTATTTATTAATATTAGCCTTTTAACTTTATTTTTATTAAAATTGACTAAGAATACATACAATCAAGTAAATAACAGTAAAAAAAAAAAAAATAGATCCAATAAACATGCGGTAAGTGAATATCTCAATTTTCATTTATAGATCGAAATAAAAGTAAATAAAAAGTCAAAGCAAGAAGGCAAGTTATGTCAATTCTTTTTTTCTAAACAAAAAATTATTTTATTCCAAAATTTTTTGTTTTATTCCAAAATATAAATCATTTCAGTAGTTTAAGGAATAATAAATTATATTTTTTCAATTTTATTTTTATTTACATTAGATATAATAATTATTTTCACAAATTATTTTTAGTTTTAAAATAAAAAAATAATTTTTTAATGTAATTTAAAAAAATTGATTATTTTTTTAAATTTCGTGTAAAAACTCTAAAGACCTATATTTTGGGAGAAAGGTTAGTTGGGAGTTATGCTCACCCCTACAATTGGACTATGGAGGCGATGGTCCAACTACTTAAAACGTCAAATGAAAACAAAGCGACATTCGCGAAGTTTCTAATAAGGGACTTGGAAATAGGAAGGGTTTCTCTCAGGGTTTTTTATTGGCGCTCTAAGCTCCTGAAGCCTCTGAAGTCTGTCCGTTAGAGAACTCACTCCAGAATAAATGGCATTCGTTTCCACAGTTCGACGAGTTCTTATTGGATCATCCTCAGCTTCTCCTACCCTCCAGTCGCGTCTCTTCTATTCAACGCTCACTTCTCCTAAGCTTTTCATCAGCGGTAAACTTTCTACCCTTTTCCATGTGTTTCCCTTACGCTTGAATTTCCAATTGATCAATCTTTCTACCCTTCAACTTCTTCTATATCAGTAATTGACAATAATTTTGTTCTTTGCTTCGATTTTTCTTTTCGTTTCTTGCTATTCGTCTACTTCAAATGTTTCATGGCCGTGAGATCGTATGAATTGAGGTTTGGTAATGTAGTTGGATCTGTATAATTTCCTCTCTCTTCAATATGCAAAATCGATCTCTATTGAATACTCTATGACTTTCAGTTGGATTTGTTACTCTTACTCAGAAGTTGGCTAAATGTTTTTCATTTTGTTTTGATGATTATGGATGAGTTAATTACTTTGGCAGGAGATAGATTTCATCCTATTTAGACCAAAGATTTATTATTTCTATGGGATTAAATGAAGAGTTTCTCTTTTGTTAAATATTTGCTGATTTATGATAGTGTTCCTTACTCTTATTTATAAGTTCCTTTTCTTTCCACTTTGGTTTATGGATGAGTTAATAGTTTGGCAGGAGAAAAGTTTGAGTTTGATGATAATGAACCTAGATATATATGTAGTGCATCTGATGCTCATTATCATGGAAAATATAGAAAAAGAGATTGTAATTACCTTTAGAGCAGCAGCAGTAAGAGTCTCCTAACTTAAAGTCCTTTTGGATGCTCAGCTTGAAGCCTGATTTTACCCATGTTATTTACTTGATTCAAAGTCACTTCAGTTTGTGCCTTTTTTTCTGTTTTATACACGTTAGAAAGAAAAACATTATGAATGCATTTTCCCAGGAAACAAAATTAAAGGAAAGGCTATGATATTTCCCTGCTAGAGTTCTATCTGCACTTAAATAGGTTTTGTTTTGGTTCACAATCTCCTTAATATTCATTACATGTTTCAGGTAACTCCAGTTGCTGTCTGAGGCCAATTGCATCTTGTTTAGTTTCTTAAATTTTTGATAGCTCTATATATACTTACAATTTTCCAACCAGAAGTTCTTATTACCTAGTTTCTTGCTGCTTCTATAATTCCTGCCACCAAACATCCATATTTTGTCACTTTTTTCTAATAGGTGATGTCAATACTAAATCCCTTCCTTTCAAGCCTAGCTTATATCTCGGCCTTTCCTTGATTTTAATTAGAAAAGTTGTTTGCATACAACCTCAGTCTCCATGGACATGGTTGTCAATCATTGTCAAATATTGCTTTTGTTAATTTTCATTTGACACAGAGATAATAGAAATATGGAAATCGGGGATCGATATTATTAGTGGAACAGCAGTTGAGTGCCTATCTTAAAATGGAGGCCATGAGTTAAATATAGAAGAAGATTGGTATTGAGGAATAATGAAATAAGCTTTTTTACTGATGCTTTTCGTATAAAGTTGGTATAGCTTAAATAGAGTATACAAGATAACTAGTAAAATGCGATCATTCGATCTAGATAAATACAGATAACCAAGTGTTGAAGATAAATACAAGTAGAAACGTAAAAAGAATTATATTATGTAACTTCTTAATACAGTCTTCGTCCCCCCACCCCACCTCCTTTCTCCTTCTCCTCTTTCCTTTTCAAAAAATTTTCACTTCACCAAAAAAAGAACATCCCATTAGTATGCCATTTGTTATGTATGATCTAGTTATTTAGATCTTTGTTCAAGTATGGGAGTTTCCAGCTGTCAGCCATAAATTGTGAAATGCATGCTTATTTTGAAATTTGAAAACTTGACTGGTTCTTTTTATGGGGTAATGAGCAGGCCTTTCAAGACTAACAACAGATGAGAAGCTAAAAGAGGCATTTTCTCCTTTTGGCCAGCTCGTTGAAGGTAAATGCAATATATATTTTTTGTCCGTATTTCTTGCAATATGGTTTAGGATGTTTCTCTTATCTCATTTTCTGCCATTTGGATCTCCAGCAAAAGTGGTAGTAGATCGAGCATCTGGAAGATCGAGGGGATTTGGTTTTGTCTCATATACAACTATAGAAGAAGCTGAAAAAGCCAGAGAAAACATGAATGCCAAATACTTGGACGGATGGGTAATTTTTGTTGACCCTGCAAAGCCAAGGGAGCAGAGACCTCCACCTTCACCAGTACAAGAGCCTACTGATACTGGTTACAGAACAAACAAGACAATTGGGTGGTGTGGGTGATCACATATTTGCATTGCGTTCTGATTTCATTGTAGTGGAAGGTACTTGGAAGCCATATGTTAGCCGAGAATAAATGTTAGGTTGGGTAACGAATTGAGTGATTTGTTGCTGACACTTTTTTTTTCCTTTTTTTTTTTTTTGCAGTTACCTTAGCTGAACCATGTGGCAAATGCAAATTATTTTCCTCCTATTAAGATTTCTTCATAAACAGCTGAAATTGATCCTGAAGAATACAGTGATTTGTGCTGTAATTGCAGCAACTTTGGACCGAGTATAGAAAAAGATCATTAATGTTCCCTCTACGGTGCAAATGGTAATTGGACACAAATTAAGACTAATCCTTCTAATGGGAATATGCGAGGTTGATTTAATTGCAAATGACCTTTTGATATGTGATCTAGTAAACAATATGATTCTCTTGATTTTGAATTAGAGTCATTGATCTCAATTTGTCACTGTATCTTCGTTTTTTGTATGTCTTATTGGCCAATAAACCCAGCTAAGGATGCAATAATATACAAAAACTTACACAAATGGTGAGAGATTAAGAATGGTAAATTTGGGATGAAGATTACTGAGATTTCAGTAAAGATATCACCTATGGTGTGGCCATGGTAAAGCATGTTTATTGCTTGTCTGATAACAAGTTTGATTCTCTCATAAATAAGGTTGAGTTTGTATGCTCTCAGTTTGAACTTGACTCGGTTTATGTTATAAACAATTTTAGCTTGAATCCAAAATTAAGAAAAGAATTTTGGCTCATTTATTGGCTTGAGTTCGATTTCAAGCTCATTTATAAATTCAAATTCGAAGAGTTCAAGCTTATTTATAAATTCAAATTCGAATTCAGCCTGTAAGCTTAGTTGATAATGCTTGCTATGTTCAAGCTCGAGCTTGAGCTTATTTATTTATAAATTCAAGTTTGAATTCAGCTTGTGAGTCTTATTTGATAATAAGGCTTGATTATTTATTAAATGATCTTCATGAGAATATTGGAAATCGGCTAATTAAACTTATTGAACAAGTTGTCTGGAGCCGCTCACAGATTGACATGGTTTATTTTCATTTTTATCCATAAAATAAGTGACTTGATTCATTTTTAGTCTCACTACATTGAATCTAGTTGGAAACTAAGGTTAAGATTTAAAAGTAGCTATCCTACAAGAAAAGGTTTGTCTCTTAATAGTAGTCTAGTAGTCAGTTTGCCGCTTAATTAATACTCTTAAAATAAAGGAAATCTAATAATAATAATAATAATATTGATTTTGCTCCTTGAATTTAAAGTTAATATGTAATATTTAAAAATTATTTTCATAATACTCGTCACATTTTAAAAATAATTTGTTCAAAAATACTTACCTCTGATTTTAAAAAGTAATATTTTTTTTTTCATATTTACTCTTTGCATATGATCGGTAATAATTACTTTAATTTAATGAATTTTTTAGAAGATTGATATTAAATTAAAGATAATATAATTAATTTATTTAATAATTTATTATAATTTAGATAAATTTAATAATTATTAAATTTTAAATGTAGCAAATATTAATTACATCTTTAAAAATAAATGCAATCCAAATCCTTTCCCACAGTACTGGAAAAAAAAAAAAAAAAAAAGATTGATATTAAATTAAAGATAATATAATTAATTATTTAATAATTATTATAATTTTATTATAATTTAGATAAATTTAATAATTATTAAATTTTAAATGTAGCAAATATTAATTACATCTTTAAAAATAAATGCAATCCAAATCCTTTCCCACAGTACTGGAAAAAAAAAAAAAAAATTCAATGGATTTAAAAACCATCCATCCAAACAATGCCAAAATCAATTTCAAAGGGAATCAGAACGGTATTCCTTTTAGCGTTAATCCCAAGTGCTTAAAACCTAAAACCCTACTCAGTTCTCAGTACAGACTGCTAGTGTAGTAATTTTGCAAGATTCAGATACCCATCTGTGCAGCCACCCAGTTTAGAGCAAAATAATTTTAATTCCAAATCCCAAATTTCAAGTACAGATATCAATTCCATTTCAGAAAATGTATTGCTGTGTTCCTCACTACGTTTCCATGAAATTTCCAGAACTTAGCACGTCTAAGGTTTGTCAAAAAAACTTTTTTCTTCCTTTTTTTTTTTTTTTTAAATTATCATTCTTTTTATTTTAAATTGTGGGTTTTGCAGATTTTTAGCTCATTTAGTTTGACTAAGAGGGATTTTAAAGTATTTGCGGTTGCATCTAGCATGGATGAGACAGCCAATTATATCCCTGCAGCTCCCATTTTTATCCCAGAAGGGCCATGGAATCAGGTGACATTTTTTTTCTTTATTTTGTTTTAAAATACCTGGTTCTTGCTTTTCCAGTCTGATCTAAAACTTCTCTGTTGTTTGCTATCGGAAAGCTTCTTTGTGTTTCATTTGCTAATGAGTTTATAGATCCTTTGATGGGAAGCAATTATCTATAGTTTTCCTGATACCATTTGTAGAGGGAAAAAGAAAAAAAAAAAAACAAAAAAAGAAAGAGTGAAATGATACAGTATACTAAAGTTTATTTGAGCTGCTTTGCTATGAAAGTTGCCTTTTCATTTTTTGTAATGGCATTTCCATCATCCTTTATAATTGACTTGTGTGCAGAAGTGGGCTGATTGTTGAACTTGTACCTCATTGTTCTTCATCATCAGTTGCCAAAACATGTTGTTGCGTGACTTGTTTTGTTCCATTGGAGCTTGTTTTGAACTTATGGTTGTACAAATGGAGTCAACTTCTGTTAATTCTGTATATCGATTTGAAAAATTGACTACTTTATTCTTAAATTAATAAACAGAGTCTACTTCTTTTAAAAAAGAAAAAAATAAAACAAGAGTTGACTAAGTCATAGATTTATTGCTAGAATCATGGGCCTCTGTCCAACATTTCTTTTTCTTACTAAGTCCTTGAGGAATATAAGGACCAAGATTGTTGGTCGGTACTGGAATTTTTTTTATTTATACTTTCAGTTTTGATAATTCAGTTTTAGGACTGTGAATATAGATTCCAGGGGGAGTCACTGCTGCAAAGGGATTCAAAGCTGCAGGCATCTATGGTGGATTACGTGCCCAAGGAAACAAACCTGATCTTGCACTGGTCACTTGCGATGTTGATGCCGCAGCTGCAGGTTAGCTTTACTTTTGGTACATTTGTCTATACTTTCTGATGTTAGATTTTGTTACAGCAATCATATTATCACCCAGCTGGGCAGGCTTTCTTTGCTGCAAATTTTCTAGCTTTTTCTATGTTCAGGGGCATTCACTACAAACATGGTTGCTGCTGCACCTGTCTTATACTGTAAAAATGCGTTAGACATTTCTAAAACGGTATGCCAGAGCATCATTCTGCATTATTTTTATATGATTATTAGTCTCTCGCTGAATGATGACCTTGTAGATAGTTTTGTAGAGTGTCCTCTAATGGCTCTATTCTGCCTCAGGCACGAGCAGTGTTAATAAATGCTGGTCAAGCAAATGCTGCAACAGTAAGTTTTGTCAGATCGTTCTCATCCAATTTGTTTTCTTTTGACATATAGTTACCTAGAAGTTAATGATCCTTAGTTTGTTTATTACCTCTTTGTCTGTGTGCAGTTGGATTTCAAAAAAGAATGGTTATTTACTTTTCCCATATGGAATATATGTCTAAAATTGAAATTTCTGTACCCAACCTCATAAATCAGTGTTAGTGTGAAAGTGGACCGTCTCTTTTGTAGCTAAGATGCATTCAAATGATATCCAGGGTGATGCAGGTTACCAAGATGTTCTAGAATGTGCTGACGCCCTTGCTAAGGTATTCAAACTTAAAATTGACCATCTCAACCTCATTCAGATCATTTTTTGGTGATTTTACTCCACTTATTATCATGTATTTTCATTGCTCTAGGTACTTAATTTGAAGCAAGAGGAAGTGTTGATTGAATCTACTGGTGTAATTGGTCACAGAATAAAAAAGGTAAAGACAGATGGTCCATGTATGTTAGATATTTCTCAGCTTGCTATATTGGTTCTGTTGATTTGCACTCTACCATTCAGCATATTCTCATATGATAATGGCATTTGCAGGAAGCACTTCTAAATGCGCTTCCTGAATTAGTGAATTCTCTCACATCATCTCTTGAAGGGTAATTCTCATGTTTCTATCATTTAATTTAAACTTTTAATAAGCTCTCGTTCCATATTTGCCTTTTCTTCTCTTCTGCTTTTTTGTATTATGATGTAGATAATTCAACAACAGATCATTTTTGACATTTCCCCGTAGATGCGCAGGGCAGGTTCTGCAGCAGTGGCAATTACAACTACTGACCTTGTGAGCAAGAGTGTGGCAATTGAGTCCCAAGTATGTTTTTAATTTTTTTTAATTAAACTTGTATATGGAGTGGCATCATCTTGGATATTTATTACTATGGTTTAAAGAGAATCCTGTGGATGAAAGCTTGAATCTGATACATCTATAATGGGTCATCAACATAAACAGTGCCTAGACCCACTGCTTAAAGACCAACATGTGTATCATGCCAACTCGATGGAAGTCTTTGAACAAGAGTTTAGAGTCGATTTGATTTTGTTTATTGTTGTGTATGATTTATGTTTTATCACTTCTTATTACTATAAAGTGTTCCTTGATACTCAGATCACTATCTTTGGTTTTTCTTTCTGTTGAATCTACTGTTCTACTCAAATGTTTATATGAACTCTAAAGAACTTCAGTTCTCAAGAGCATTATCTCTTGAGATTTGGAGCTTTTGAATTGAAATTCATTGCGAACAGATGGGTATTTTACAGTTTTTTAAAATGTACCAGGTTGGAGACATGAGTGTAAGAGTTGGGGGAATGGCCAAAGGTTCTGGGATGATCCATCCAAACATGGCCACCATGTTGGGTGTATGTCTTCTGCTTCTCTCTTGATTTTCCAGAAGCACATATTTTCGTCCATTCATTAACAGTTATTCTGTGCAGGTAATAACTACTGACGCGCTTGTCGAAGCTGATGTTTGGAGAAAGATGGTGCTAATTGCTGTTAACCGGAGTTTCAACCAAATAACAGTATGGTGCTCTTTATCCCATCTATTTCAAATGGTCTAGTAATGCTGGTTTCAGTAAGTTGGCCTGGTAGGAAAGTGCTGCAATTCTGTACATGGTCTAAAGTGCTTGAAAGATTAATCCTCGGAACTTTCCCATGGCATGCGTAGCTTTTCTCTGGAATGTCACTTGCTAATTGATTAAAGGAATGCCAAAAAGTGTTCTGCCACTTAAATTGGTCTAGTCTATGCAGTGCATGGTTATTAAAGGTGCAAGATCCGGCAGCAGCTCAGGCTCAAAAAATTTGAGCTTGCTAGAAAATTTCAAAATTAAGATTTATATCAAAATCAAGATATTACCACTATTTGACCAAATTGACCAAAATTAACAATCTTCAGATGTTCCTTATGCATTAATAGCCTTGCATATGAATCATTTGTGACATGCTTGCTTGCAACAAATAGCATTGCTTTATAGCAATTCAAACTTTTGTCTACTGAATCATTTGATCGATCTCCATATTGTGGGATTTTCTGTAGTTATGGATTTTGTTGATTCTTACTGGATTTGCCACAGGTGGATGGAGATACTAGTACAAATGACACAGTAATTGCTTTGGCTAGTGGGTTATCTGGATCAACCTCAATATCATCTATCGAATGCAGTGAGGCAAGACAACTTCAAGCATGCCTTGATGCAGTAAGCTTGGCTATCATTGATCCTTATCTTCGTTCTTTATTGTTCTGAAATATGGTCTGTTTGTTGAATAAATGGCTATATTTCTTCTGAAATAAACTTTCAAAAATTTTGGCATCATTACTTAATTTCTGAGGCGTTTTCTTCAAACAGTAACTTTTACTATATGGTGACTGCTAACTTAACATATTTCTGCCTTTTCCTTTAGTTTGTTAACATAAAGTGCTTTTTTGTAAGCTTTATGTTAAATATGTGCATCTTCTTCCCTAGAATAATTTTTTTGTCTCGGCTATATGGTCACGTATTTGAACTTTTTCTTGGTACTTTTATATCTACAAGCATTTTATCGAGTTTGCGCAGATTTGATCAACTTTTCAAATGGTCACAGTTGGCCCCATAATTATTTAGAAGCTCTAGAAGTTATTGATTTAGATCAGATTGTGTACTTCTAAGCTTTGCGAAATGACTATTCTTAGGTAATGCAAGCTCTTGCAAAATCAGTAGCTTGGGATGGAGAAGGAGCTACATGCCTAATTGAGGTAAGCTTCTCATTTTAAAGAGTTCTCAAAAATGTTTTTCATTCACTGATTATTCTGTGAGATAAATGAAGCCTAAGTTGCTCTAGATTTGTGCAAAACCAAGTTCTGAACAAATGTCTATTGGAACTAGCAAATCCTACCTCTGGAATATATTTATGTTTGAATGAGTAGGAAACAACATTGACAGGTTGACAACTTCCAATCAGGAGAACAACCAATCCACTCTAATGATATTGACATTTTCAGTTAATTGTGACTTTGATGCATTAGGTTACAGTAACTGGGGCAGAAAGCGAGGTGAAAGCTGCGAAGATTGCACGCTCTGTGGCATCTTCTTCACTTGTCAAGGCATAAATCCAAACACAGTAACACATCCACTTGATATTCCAATTTAGCTATGTCTAATTTACTGTAGATGATAGCAGGCTGCAGTATATGGAAGAGATCCAAATTGGGGACGCATTGCTGCCGCCGCCGGCTATGCAGGGATTCCTTTCCACCAGAACAACCTCCGGGTTATGCTTGGGGATATTTTGCTGATGGATAATGGACAGCCGCTTGCATTTGATAGGTGAGCACTAACTGGTTATTGTAATTAAATAAAGGGAATCTTTATGCATGTCTTATCTTCCTTTTACCCCTCATATTATTTCTATAATTTACCATGTTAATTACTGATAGGGCTGCTGCTAGTAACTATCTCAGGAAGGCTGGTGAAACCCATGGAACAGTTGGAATTTACATTTCTGTTGGTAAACTTCTGAAATATTTATTAACCGATTGTCTTTTTATTTGTTTATTTGGCTTCATAACATAACATATGCAAGTCTTTCCCTGCTCAAGTTGCAATCACTCTATCATAGACTATACAATTGAGCTTGCTGTCGATATATACATCTCTCTCTCTATAGTTAGCTACTGATATACTGCCTGTTTGGTTTTTGGTTTTATTTTGCAATAATCAAAGAAAATTATTTTATAGGGACATTTTTTATTCTTTTCCGTCTTAAGAGAAAAAAATACAAATTGTCACGTCCTGAAATATTACAAAAAGTAGTTTTTTACTTATTCAGCAATCTGTTTTGTATGATATAATAGTCTGGTATTGGAAAAGCACAACTAAAACCCAGAAATATAGTAGTTAGTACCGAGCAGGCTCAACCTCTACGGCTGTCTCACTACACATTCCATAGGTATAAGCAGAGCAAGGCTAATTAAGCAATTTCATTGTGCATTTTGGCAGGTGATGGATCAGGACATGGACAGGCATGGGGCTGCGACTTGAGTTATGATTATGTTAAAATAAATGCAGAGTACACAACTTAGACAATTTTGTATTTTACCTAATCAGAGTTTCAGAGAATTGGACTTTTGAACTTGTATCCCCAAAACGGATAGCATTTCCAATAAAGATTAAATAACATTCTAAAGTATTGAAGGGTTCGTATTTCTCACTATTATAGATCCTTGTTTATGGTACATCAGAAATTTCAAATTCTGTGTCTCAATTCATTGTAATATTTACTCCCAGAGTTCTTAAGTCCATTCGTTTTAAGTCCATTTTATATGAACAAAGAGAGTGGTCAACAGCAAAAAATGCAATTATTATCTTTTTTGTGTGAAAGTGAGAATTGATAGGTAGGTAAGTGTTGAAGAGTGGATTGAAAATGGTGGAATTTATAGAGAGAGAAAAATGAGAGTGAAATGAAAAGTCGAGTAAATATTATTTATTTAAAATATATATAAATAATAACCGTCCATATTATTGTAACAAAAGCAAGGCTTAACCATACCAAACTAGTTGGAATTGGTTATATGAATTTTTCTTTTTTTCAATATTCACCTTGATGAAATTAAATAATTTATTTATATCCTTAAGAACTATCCTCTTTCTATAAATATAAATCATTTTTTAAAATAGTTTTTTTGTCCATAAATATATATGGTGTAGAGAATATCCAAGGGTAATAGTTTTTGAAGAATATGGCTAAGTAATAAAGTTTCTTTCAATTTTAAATACGATTGGAATAATAGAACAATAATGTGAAATAAAAGGTAATTTAGTTAAATTAATGAATATTTTATTATAGTTTAGAAAAATTAATTATATCCTTACTAATTGTGCAATAATCTTAAGCGACTTATATTTATGCATAATACTTGTCACAATTGAGAAAATAGTTTGTTTTAAAATACTTGTCACATTTGTGATTTCAATGTGTAATAAATATTTTTTTTCCATATTTACCCTTTGTATATAACCAATAATTATTATTTCAATTTAATGGTTTTTTAAAGAATTAGTATTAAATTAAAGGTGATATAGTCGGTTTATTCAATAATTTATTATAACTTAGACAAATTTAATGATTTTCTTAAGGGACGTAAAATTTCAAATGTGACAAGTATTATGGAATGAAGGTAGTATTAATTTAACATTGAAATTAATGTAATAATAAATATCATATCATTAGAAATACATTTATTAAGTAATTTATACATATTATTAAAAGCTATTCTCTCGGTTCTAAAATAAAAGTCGTTTTTGGATGATTATTTTATCCCAAAATATAAGTCATTTTGAGTATTTTAAGGAGTAACAAATGAAATTTTTTCAATGTTACCCTTATTTACATTAGATACAATAACTACCTTCACAAATTACTACTCATTCTATTCCACTTTAATAGCAATATTTGATCTTTTCACAAAGATTAAGAAAATGATTGGAATATATTGATTTTCTAAATATACATGGTAAAATGTCTAAATTGCCCTTCTTAAAATTAAAAGCTCCCCATCTAATCTTGGTACAAAACACATAATAAATATGGATAAAATTGGAAAAAAATAATTAATACACTCTCAGAATTATAAATAAGCACTTAAATGGAACAACGTAAAATGCATATTTGTTGCTATTAAAGTGGGACTAAGGAGTTTTAGTTTTGAAATAAAGGGTAATTTGGTCAGATTGCCATTGATTTATTATAATTCAGGAGAATTAATTGTTTTCTTATTCCCTATGCAAAAACTTTAAACGACTTATATTTTAGGACAAAAAGAGTATAAATATTATTAATTTAATTTACAGTAAAATTAATATAAATAATAATGGCCCATGGCATTAAAATTTATGAATTGAGTAATTTATTTACATTATTAAAGACTATATAAACACATGAATGTTAATCCCTAGGTTCTCTTTTGAGTGTTTATTTTATACGGAGAATTTTGCTCTAAAGAGAAATCTTGGAAAAAATACCAAAAGAGAAAGTCTAATATGTCAATGATTAACCTCTTTTACTGTCTTCTTATAGCTCAATTAACGAGCATAATGGTAGACAAAAATTTGCTTGGGCAATTAATGATTTTATATTTCCAAAGTATCAGGAACAACTTATGAACGGTTTGGTAGAAATGTGCTTGACTTTACGGATTTGAGAACGAATAAAAGCACGTACACTGGCCAAATTTCATAATATGGCCACACTTTTTAATTGTCGCGCCTTATTTATAAAAAAAGTTTATATGTCCATATTACACTTTTAACTTTGGCACAAATTTAAATTTCTTCCAACAAATTTAATTACAATGCTTTATTGACTAAGTTTGCATTCAATTTCCAAGAAGTGTGCATTAATTTATGCATGAAGCATAAATATAACTAAACGCGAGTACTTTTCTTAGGAGGTTAGCATAAAATAATCACAGGTTTATATTGTTACAAAATTGGCTTTTCATGGATATTAACCCCTTACTAATATGTGTACAAATTTTGATTTTATGTTTTCATATCCAGTGATTTCGAGGACAATTTCCTTCTTGCTAGTGCCCTATTTTCAAAAAGATGTAAATCTATTTGAATATTTCAATTTGCAGTTGAAAAGACTTTTGCACTCCTTAAAGATTTTAACCAATAAATGCTTTAGAATAGTCTATTAGTGAGTTGGCTTCCTCGCTATTAATTATATATGTAAAAGGCTTATCGAGGGTATTATAGGCAAAAAGATAGAAAAAATTTCCTGTTTAATTACTTTTTTAATCCTAGAGCTTTTTCTGTTTTCTATATCAGGAGTATATAAATAAGAATAACCTATCATAAATTCAATTTATTTTGCCAAACATTTAGCGCGCTACAAACAATTTATTTTAACATCATGGGGAGTATTGATTTAATTTATTTTAAATTAATATAATAATAACCGTTGTTTATATAAATATATAAAAATAAAAACATGTTATTATATATCACAATACAAACTGGTTGTATACCCATATTATATACGGTTATAGTAATATATTTTTTAAAATTTAAAAATTTATTTTTTATATTAAAATAAATAAAATTATTTGTTGAAAAATAGAAAAATAATTACCAATTACTTTTTTTTACTGACTTGTCTACAAAATTGGAGAAAAACTAAACAAAATTAATTATTATTGGAGTTGATTTTTCTATAATATTCAAATTATTTTTTTAATTGAATTTATCATTTTTATATTATTTGAAAATAGTATTTATTGACCGCCATTTCTTTTTTCATTTGGTCACAAATTAATTTTACTAATTAAGTTATTAAAAGAAAATAAATAATGTACTATTATTTCAATTTTTACTCGTTACTAATTTATTGTCATTTTTTAGTTAAATAATTGTTATTTCTTAAATTAAGTAATTTGTTTAGTTAAATATTTATTTCTTATATTATTTGAAATTGATATTGACTCAGTAGTTTTCTTTTTTCATTTAGTGACAAATTAATTTTTGAACCATTAGGGATAACCAATGATATGAGAAATGGACCGGCCATCGAACTATTAAAGACAAGAGTTTATTGAATTAAAGACAAGAGTTTATTGAACTGGGAGGTTTGACCGAATTCAATAGTGTTAACCGAATTTTTATATATAATATTTTTTAATATTTTTTAAATTAAAAATATAATATTATAAATATCAAATAATTTTTTATAAAAAGGATTAATTTTAATATTAAACCTCCAAAAACAATTAATTAATATAACAAGGATTATATTTAATTATTCCAAAAATCCCCCCGTTAATTTTTCCAACAAAGATTAAAATATTTGACCAAATAGCACCAAACCAAAAAAAAAAAAAAACCTCTTATTGGAATTCAAACCAAATAAGTACTCAAAAGATAAAGAAATAAATAAAGAGCGGCGATACACGGTTCGCCTTGCCCCAATGTTCGAGTAAAATAATATAATATATCACAATATAAAGGGTCCCACCATTTTAAAAGCATATTGCAGTTGAACATTGAGATTAAAAGGGTAGAAATGTAAATACAAGTTATACTTACAACACCTATTTCACCTTCTACCTAAACAAGTCGTTGCTTCTTCTTTTCCTGTACAGTAAGCGCACGCCGGCAGCGATAGATCGTATCTGAAAGAAAATCAAAAGTAAAACTCTACTAAACTCAATTCCTCGTCACTAAGAAATGCAAAACTCAATTAAACATAATAAAATCGAAAGTGGAATGAGAGGAAAATCAAAAGAAAAGGAGAAAAAGAACGGAGTAGCTGAATCATGAAAGTCTGACACAGCAGCCACCCATTACCGACACCCTTGGTTGCGCCGCCTGCTCCTTTTGTGATTCTTTCACTGCTTCCTCTGTTGTGTACGCATAAATTAGACTCTAATTTCTCTCTTGCTTGTTCTTGGCTTAGCCTTTTCTTTCTAATATGCAATTAACATAAATATGAAAGTTATGGACTTACTGAGTTTTTGTTTTTGAGAGATGAATTGAACTGAAACAAACAACTATCTTTGACTGAATTAATACTCTTAAATCTCCTTCTAGATAAAGACTTCTTATCTTGTATTGTAAATCTGATACTCTTAAATCTCTTTCCAGATAAAGACCTCTCCTTATCTATCTCCTATTTTAGATCTGTCTAGATTATATAAAAGGAGTGAAAATCTTTAGGTACTTTCCTGGGCATACTACTACTGTATATGACTCTGCAGTTTAATTCAAGAGTTGTTTCAGAAATGGATGTCATCAGTGGAAGAATGATAAGGAGAGACCTGTATTAATGAAGCTAATAGAGAGATTGCAAGGAGATACAAACAACGGCTAACGTAATATCAGGTCATGTTATATGGAGAGACTCTCCAGTGGTAGTGTAGAAGGAGAGATGCTTCATTCCGAGATGATGAATTGTAAAGTTTAATGCACAAAAAAATAAAATTCATTATCATTTTTTTTTTTCCATTAAGACCATGAAATCACAGAGCCTTTCCTCCATCGTTTTGCCAAAAAGTTTAAATGTTAAATCTACTTACCTTTAATTTGGATTGTATTTCAAATCACATTCAAATAAACTGCTGCATACATATGTTTCACTTTCACACATGTCTTGTGGGAGGCCACACCATTGAAATTTTAAACAATAACTCGCTCCCATGGGGTGCATAATTAGTGATAAATAAATTGAAAAGTTTGCAGTATAACAATGACGACGCCTTGAACACTGCTCTCTTTGAAAAGGATTCTCATGGCTTTGAGGCACAAAGTTTTCACTTTCGTTTCATCTTTTGTTTACATGCATTTTCTTCAATTATTGTACTTAACATTACATTACAGAAATGGGTAAGAAGAATCAAAGAGTCCTCATCATATGAAAGATTCACCTCCACCTTTTTTTTTTGTTTTTTTTAAGCCCGTTTATTTAAACCGTATCAAATACTTGAACCACTCACCAGTTTTTTTTTTTTTTTTTTTTTTTTTTTTTTTTTTTTTTTTTTTTTTTTTTTTTTTTTTTTTTTTTTTTTTTTAAATTCAAGTCGGTTTGGCAGTGGTGTTCTGGTGGTCTAACCGATTTAAGATCTAATTGGCCGGACTACGGTCCACTTCCAAATTAAATCAGTCAGGTTCCAATTTTTAGAAACCATGGATAACAATTGATGCTATGTACAATGCTTTTTAAGTTTTATTGTAGCAATTTAGTTTTTTTATTTAGTCACAATTTGTGAAATAAGCTATTAATAAGAAATCAATGAATATAGAATATATAAATGTGGGCACATATAATATGCTTTTGAACTTTGAGATTTTTTTTTATTTAGTTACAAATTAATTCAGTTAATAAGTTTATAATTAAAGAGAACAATTAAGATTTTTGGTCATGAGCTATTGTACAACGAATACAATTTGGCATTCCATAACACTTAATTTCCTTAGTGCCACCGATTAAAAAAGAAATGTTTTTGCTTCCCCTGCGCGGATTGTGTCTCTAAACACCATAGAGAGCCCAGGGTTCTTGGGTTTATTCCGGACATATTAGAGAGTATCTTATTTATTTATATTCAAATCCTCCAACAACTTCATTTTAAAAATAGAATGCCTGAACTAGAGAGATACCATGATCGCTTTTCACACACAATAGTGAGTGACTGAGTATAAAAGGTAAATTTAGAGTAATTTTTAAATAGTCCTACTTGAAAATATTTTATTAGATCTTTAAATTCAAAAACATGTAAAAAACCTATAGGCATTAAATAATGTGATGTATTTTTCTAAAATATCACATTTAATAATTGTTTGCTTACCTAATAATTGCAAACTAATAGGGGTTAATAGACAATAGGCAAATAAAATATGCAATCTTCCAAATGATATTCGGTGC